CTTTTCAACAGCAAAACATCCAGGATAACAACATCAACTTGTCAATCTTTTCCTTTATTTTTCTTTGTTTCTCCTCAGGGCACTTGTGCTCCGATTCAACTTCAGATTTCAATGCAGTCATCTTCCCCTTGTTCTCTCCAACTCTTTGATCCCTTTCTTTCTCCTTTGCTTTCAGTTTGGCCTCGTTCTCGAGTACTAATTGCAACATGTTCATGCACAGTAATGTGATGATAACATTTGAACTAAGAACTGACTTGATAATACTTGAGCAATGCTAAAAATATACTAACCTTTCATTTCCCATTCAGCAGCTTTATTGTGAAGTGCCTTTATCTCCAAATTTTGATCACTGATCTTCTCTTTGTGTGCTTTAACATCCTTCTCAGAAGCTTTAGCAGCAGCGCTCTAGCATGAATAATATATTTGTACAGTCATTGTTATACCAATTTGACTCAAGGGTGCAATCAGCCAAAGGAAAAAAATCTTGCATGAAGGAAAGCTTGCCGCTATTCATACTTTGTCAAGCACAGCAGAAATTTTAGAGAGATGCTTCGCTAGTTTCTCAGAAACCTGCAAAATAAAGATGCTTATCATGCAACTACATAAATGGAGTATACAGAAATAAGAAAGGTGAAGCCTCACAAGAAACAACAATAAATGTCAAATGGTTCTTGTGATTTGATGATTTGAGCAATTGCCCCATCAGCTGTAGTAAGAAAAGAATGATCCGAGGCTGTGGGGAGAACTAAATGGGAACTCAAGATTACCAGAAAGAAAACACTGTTCGTTAGCACATGATCTGTATTGTTTACAACAAATTTATAGCAACAAGTGTGAAATTGTTGCGCCAATCAGCATCAGGAAGAGCGCATCATAAAGAGTACCTTAGTATACATCTCAAGAGTATCGGTTTTCTCTTGGACGTTCTGCATTGCCATCTTCTCTAAGTTCTTTAACTCATCACGGACTGCTTTCTTCTCCTCAAGGTTCCTCCTTAAAAAAAAAGGGTGTACCCAGTGCAGAGAGCTCCCGCTCTGTGCGGGGTCTGGGGAAGGGTGTCAGTGGCAAGCCTTACCCTCGCCTGTGCAATGCGAGGAGACCGCGACTCGAACCATAGTTATTATGGAAGCTAGCACAAGATGATGATTATCTGATTGAAGCTCATAATTCTGATCGAAGCAATTCGACAATGTAAGCACATAAAAAATACACTCATAGCACATAAAGAAGCAAGCACTAATGATTCTGGGAAAATGGACACTTTTTTAAAAAGAACGCAATCTTAGATAGAGCACCCAGTGACAATTGCAATGATATGTTGAGTGAATAATTCATTCATAGTTATGCTGAACTGTGAAGAGATAAAGTCATTCCGACAGTTGAAGGGGTGACAGCATACTTGCTAGTCCTAGTTGCATTTTGTAAGACAGTAGGAAAACTATGGCTTGCTGTTCTACCATGGAAAGTAATTCTAGAACCTACAGAGTTGCTTGTATGAATGGCTTTCAGCCTTTTTAGCTTAGGCATTCCAACACATTCAATTCCTGATGAACTTTATGCCTGTAGCAGAATACAGCCTACCTGAAGCTTTTCAGGGGAAGAACAATTTTGGCTGATAGCTTTTCCTTTTCTTGCATAACTTTCACCAACTCAAAATCAGCCTGGTTGATCTGCCAGGAAAAAAATACAAGCAGCGAATGTAATATTATGAAGTATTGCTTTGAATAGAACAAAAAAATCCAGTTTAACTTAACAAGAGCAGTTCTACTGGTCAATGTCCATATATACAAAGCAAAGCGGATGCTAATAAATACCACTTATTAGTTAGGAAGAAAAAAATGTCAGCATTCAGTGGCTGATTAAATAACTAAATGTCTTCCAATTATGCTAAAAGATCTTTCTTAAACATGTAAGCATATTTCCAGTGCTTGAAGACTGATTTGGCCTGGAGCACCTATAACATACAGAAGGTGGCAGTCTACAGAGCTTTGGCTTCTCGGAGTAAAAAAGCTAGAGTAAGAAGGGTGTCTCATGTCTGGCCCAACAACTCCAGCTTCTCCACTTTTAAGTCTAATGAGATTTTCAACGTATGTATAACCAAAACCAGTGGCAAGTTACATGATCTGTTGACGTGAATCAGGTGAAATACTTCCAACTGACTGAACCAATGAACCTACCAAAAGGCAGCTCACTATCACCTACGGCATCATCCAGACTCCATGTAATCCAAAACTACCTGTGCTAACTTCAACCAAGAAGCCTGGAACTGAATATACGCCAAACAAAATCTACTGACTTCAGCACAATTTGTTATCTTGTTGGCATTGAACAGAATTCTTAAGCATATGACTTACCAACTACGCATTTGCGCTCATTCGCTACTGGGCAGCTTTATTTTTGGAGGATGACAAAGAGTTGTTGGTGGCTGGAGCCAACATGATGCTGCAGATTTGCGTTGAAGCTGTTGAACAAGAAGCAGAAACCGGCTGGGCGTCAGGCGTTGGAGGACAAGGACGCGAGTCGTCAGAGGGACTGAAGGCGGCCTTCGTTTGCTGGGTTTTTTGTTGATCAGCTCATGATCAGTCTGATGATTGAGAATGTTTTCTGTGTATAGTTACTCCTATTCGGTTTCTGCTGTCGTGGTTCTGTTAAACTCTTCTGTTGATGGATAGATGCCCCATCTGAATCAGATGTGTAGGCCTAGCTCGCGCAATGTTTAGTGATCAGGTGGTAGATTTTGATGATCTTCTGTTCTATCTGTATCATTTATGCCGCTCCTGATACTCTCTAAACATTGTATTTCCGTTATGTCTGGTAACGGAAATGGGGGATGTCCCTCTGTTTGAAAAATATGACTTACCAACTAGTTTCAATGCTAGCTCATACTACTTCCAAATTCCAAGTGTCCATGCTGTAGGCACATTCTCAATATAACATGCTTGATTACATGCATGGGAAACTTGCTCTTTTCATATGCTGGTAGCATAACATGGTGGACACTTGAACAACAACCAGACTATACATACCTCTTAGTTTTCATGGACAACAATTTATTTACAGAAGGTATCAGCAATACGCCAAATAAGAAATCTACTCGGTGTTGTAGCTTAAGGCAGCAAGGTAGTAGTGCCAAGATTATTGACAGCAGCCAAAATATGCATTGACATATGTAAACACAAGCCCACATTGTAAATCTCTGTTTTGCATGGATCACACAGAACACAAGAATAAAAACATACCAAGGAAAAGGTCCAAGTACCATTCTAATCAAAAGGATGGAAAAATGCAACGCAAGACAGGAATCAGCACCTTCCGCAGTGTCTCCTCTCTTTTCGTCCAAGGCTTTTGATGCATGGCGCAGCGACAGCTGCTCTCTGTTGTAATCATGAAGCCTCTGCTTAAGGGCATTGACCTCCTTCTCGAGCTGCTGGACCATGGGTGCCTCCACCTGCTCCTTAAGCAGATGGTCCTCTTTCGCCTTGCTAAGCTGTATAAGGTGGAAAATGGAAGGGAACAAAACGCCGAAAAGAAAACACACACAGGGAGAGAAAACCTAAGTATTTCCCCGGACAGAAGGCAGAAAAATGTGAAGGAGGAGGATGGGAACGCGACCTCGTCGATCTTAGCCCTGAGCTCCCTCTGCCGTTTGTCAAGCGCGCCGTACTCTTGGACGATGGGCTCGAGCAAGGCGAGCTTCTCCCGCCTGAAGAGGAGGAAGTTGATGAGGGCGCTGAGGATGAGGACGACACGGGGGCCGTCGGCGCGGAGGAGGTCGCGGAGATTGAGGTCTCGGAACTGGATGGACTGGAGGAAGGCGTTGGCCCTCTTGTAGATCCGCGACAACCGTAGGGCGCGCATGTGGTGCTCCGGGTTGTCGAGCACCTGCAGCGCCTGGAACTGTAGCTGCTCGTCGGGCTCGTCGCTGCAACAAGCAAAATGCCCCCAAAGCAAGCAAACGCAGAGATGAGGCCGGATCCAGGTGAGACGGGACAGCTCGGGGCGAGGGGAGCGGCGGGGGCGCACCCGACGAAGTTGAGGAGGAAGAGATAGAGGACCTCGGCGACGAAGCCGGGCTGAGGGTGGACGATGTCCTCGGCGCAGAGGCTAGTGCTGGGCGCGATGCCATAGCTGTGCAGCGCCGCCTCGATCTCCGCCGGCTCGAACAGCGGGAAGGAGTAGGAGCTCGCCATCCCCTCCGCTGCGGGCACCACCGGCGAATCGAATCGAAATCGGATGGGTGGGGTGGGATGCGATTTCGGCGGGTTTACCCCTTTCCACTCCGGCAGGCGGCGGCGTTGGGGTTTTTGTCTTCCCGCCCCATTCTGCGCTGGAGAAATGCAGCGTCTGTGGCTGAGAAACTGAGCCCACCCCACCATTGATTTTGAATTCGTGGGGAGCGGAGCCTTCTGCTCAAAAGGCTGCTGCCGTTGCCGTATTTCATTACTGCCGTACTTTGGTGTCTCGCGCTTCCGGGCCCAATAATAGAATGGAGCCCAGCAGCCCAGCCCAACACAAGGCTATTGCGGATCCCATGGACTAATATAATATAATTCATACAAAAAAGGGATCTTTATGCAAAATTCACACCCTTATCCTATTGATGGACGGCTATTGCGGATGGTGTTGCTCGGCCGCTTGGCCATTGGTAACGCCGCCGGCCTGAGGCCATGCTGGGGGGCCGGGTACTGCGGTCTGCTTGGCGCGCGAGCGCCACCGCTGCCGGACGCGCAGGCTCCGCCGGCCTTGCGTGATGATGCGTGGGAGCCGCCGTTGGTCGAGCGCGTTGCCGCCACACTGAGGGAGGAGGACGACGGGCGGAGAGCGAGGTGGAGGGGCCGTGGAAGCGGCATCTGAGAAGAGAGACGCCGGTGCGGCGGTGCCGAGCGGAAGCGGAGGTCTCCCCAGCGCACTGACACATGGGCCCCTGCACGAGTGAGTTGCACCACCCAGCTTATCCTTTCCCGGCCTCCCTCAGTCCCGCTCTGCCGCAGCTGCGGGAAATGGTCGCGCTCCACGCCAAGCAACCCACGCCTCGTCTCCTCCCCGCGCCACCGAGCCATGCCCGTCGGCCCCCGGCAGCGGCGGCGGCGGCGGCCAATGTACGCCACTCTGCGCCGCCGCCTGACGTCGTCCTCGACTGCAAACGGTTGGACGGGCTGATGAAGTCCGGGAGGCTAGGGGACGCCCTGGACCTGTTCGACCGGATGCCTCGTAAGAACGTCGTCGCGTGGACCACGGCCATCTCCGGGTGCACGCGGAACGGGCGCCCCGAGGTGGCCGCGGCCATGTTCGCGGACATGCTGGAGTACGGCGTCGCGCCCAACGACTTCGCGTGCAACGCGGCGCTGGCGGCGTGCGCGGCCGCGGGTGCCGGCGCGCTCGGCCTCGGCGAGCAGGTGCACTCGCTCGCCGTGCGGGCGGGCTTCGCCGCCGACGCCTGGATCGGGAGCTGCCTCATCGAGCTCTACTCGAGGTGCGGCTCCCTGCGGGCGGCTGAGGAGGTCTTTCGCCGGATGGAGGCGCCGGACGTCGTGGGGTACACTTCGCTCGTCTCGGGGCTCTGCAGGAATGCAGAGCTCTAAGGGGCCGTGGAGGTGCTCTGTCAGATGATGAGGCAGGGGTTGCAGCCGAACGAGCACACGATGACGAGCATGTTGGCGGAGTGCCCTCGTATGATTGGCGAGCAGATACATGGATATGTGCTCAAGGTAATGGGTTCGCAGAGCGTCTATGCATCCACTGCACTGATCGACTTCTACTCGAGGTACGGTGATTTTGACATGGCGAAGAAGGTGTTTGAAAATCTTGACTCCAAGAACGTGGTGTCGTGGTGCTCCATGATGCAGCTGTGCATTAGGGATGGAAGGTTGGAAGATGCACTGCGAGTGTTCAGTGAGATGATTTCAGAGGGCGTTGAACCAAATGAGTTTGCATTTTCAATTGCTCTCGGGGCTTGTGGGTCTGTTTGTCTGGGGCGTCAAATTCACTGCTCAGCCATCAAGCGCAACTTAATGACTGACATCCGAGTATCAAATGCTTTACTCTCTATGTATGGTAGGAGTGGTTTTGTTTCAGAACTCGAGGCTGTGCTTGGCACGATTGAAAATCCTGATCTTGTTAGCTGGACAGCTGCCGTTTCTGCAAACTTCAAGAATGGTTTCAGTGAGAAGGCCGTAGCATTGCTTCTTCAGATGCATTCAGAAGGTTTTACGCCAAATGACTATGCCTTCTCTAGTGGTCTGAGTTCTTGTGCAGACCTGGCATTGCTGGATCAAGGAAGGCAGCTTCATTGCCTAGCATTGAAACTGGGGTGTGACTTCAAAGTTAGTACTGGGAATGCACTAATTAACATGTATTCCAAGTGTGGTCAAATTGGATCTGCTAGGCTTGCATTTGATGTCATGAATCTTCATGATGTCATGTCTTGGAACTCACTGATTCATGGCCTCGCACAGCATGGAGACGCAAACTTGGTACGGGAGGCATTCATTGAGATGTGTTCAAGTGGTTGGCAGCCAGACGATTCAACATTTCTGGCAGTCCTGGTAGGGTGCAATCATGCAGGCCTGGTAAAGGAAGGGGAGACATTCTTCAGACTAATGACTCATCAATATGGTCTCACACCGACCCCTTCTCACTATGCATGCATGATCGACATGCTGGGTCGAAATGGCAGATTCGATGAAGCGCTACGCATGATCGAAAATATGCCATTTGAGCCTGATGTTTTGATCTGGAAGACACTATTAGCATCGTGCAAGCTGCACAGGAATCTTGACATTGGGAAGCTCGCAGCAGACAAGCTGATGGAGCTTTCAGAAAGAGACTCCGCGAGCTACGTGCTGATGTCAAACCTGTACGCGATGCACGAAGAATGGCAGGATGCCGAGAGGGTGCGTCGGAGGATGGATGAAATTGGGGTGAAGAAGGATGCCGGTTGGAGCTGGATCGAGGTCAAGAACGAGGTCAGCACCTTTGTTGCAAGAGACACGTCTCATCCAGACTCCGCATCCATCTATCAGATGCTTGCAGAGCTCGTTGTTGTGCTGCGAGATACAGAGTTAGATGTTCATATGCAGATTTAGATGTCAAAGATGAGCATATCACTTGCAGACTTTACATGTATAGTGGCACATAGTGTATGCCAAAGTAAAATTGTTATTTTATTCTGTACAGCAAGTTTTGTTTTGTTTTAAAAAAAACATTTGATCTTATAACACGATATTGCAGTTACATGATTGGAATGACTTTATTGTACAGCTAGTTTTTTACTTTATTCTGGTAAAAAAAATCATACAAGTCAGATGCGGAATTTAAAATATATAGGAATGAAGAAAAAATAAATTCTGTTTGTGAGGCCGCAAGGGGAGGCAGACATGGCTCGGGCTCTCACCTTACAGTTAAGTCCGTTATACGGCCCTGTTCGGCTGGAGGAATCTGGAGGAAAAACACGGTTCCGGATGAAATGTTGCGAAAGAAACACTGTTCCGGATAAAAAAAAAGCGGATCAAGCCGGGTTTAAGGGCACGCGAACGGGGCATAGGCAACAAGATGCGCTTTAGGTCGCAGTAGTTGGTAGAAACTGTTTACATACAAGTGGATGGAACAATAGAACCATCAAGGTCACCCACACAATTGCGCAGTCAGAGTGTGTTATATATATGGCTAAGCTTGGTAAGAGAGCTCATATCATCTTTTACAATTCACTTCTGATCCCGCTTTGCATATCAATATAGCTCCATTGACGTGCATTTTCGTCACCGGATAATCTCATATTGAATTACATTTATTTTTCTATTATATTCATATATCAAAAGATAATTTGATTGCAATTTGCGTCCTTCTAGAGATCAGATGGACCAGTTCTACTCTGGGTTCCCAGTTCTTTAAAGGTCTGATTTGGGCAGCTTCTGCAGCCAAGGTGGGCTTTAGGTGGAAAATAGGAGACGGTAAGAAAGTTAAGTTTTAGGAGGATAATTGGCTAGGTACGTCTAGTCTTGCTATCCAATACTGGGAGGTTTATATTTTGGTCAATGAAGGCTGCAACCATGGCTACTCCTTGAGATGGGGAGAACCTTAAGTGTACTTTTAGGAGATCTGTAGATGATAGGCTTTTGAATCTTTGGTTAGAGGTGGTTCAATTAGCTTTTGTCACACCCCAAAATTCTTATTTTGGGTTGTGAATAGAAAACACTAAATAAAATGAAGGATTTTAATATTTAGATAAAATTTGCCAATAATAGTTTAAATTTCCGTATAGTTTTATTAAAGAAAATGGTGCTTTTCAAACATTTCTGAATTAATTTTACTGGCTTTTGCTGATGTGGTGTTTGCCTGTTGTTTGAGTTTTGTGCTTTTGAGTGTCCTAAGTTTTCAAAACACGTTTCGACATCGTCCAATCCTTCTCGGAAATTTTCTGGACTTTTCTGGAACTGTTTCCCATTTTTCCTAGAGCAAAACCCAATTTTTGGATGCTCTAAAATCCCTTTTCATCTCTCAATCTATCTCTCAAAGCTTTCCTTCCTCTTTTTGAAATTTTAGAAATATTTTTTAGGGATTTAAAACGATTTCAGTTTTTTTTTTCTGGAATTGTGTTTTAACTAAAAATGATTTTCTAAAATCCCAAAATTAGGAAAAAAATACCTCGTTTCCCGACCTCAAACCCTAACACTATATACATGCCGGTTTTCTACTCGACGTGCTAGTTCCAGATATGGAAATCTCATCCCAAGCCGCCACTCGTAACTGTCTACATCTAGCGCCGAAGTTTGCACGGCGAACTTTTTCGGCAAACCTTCCAGGTCGTCCAGAGCAGGCGGTGCTGGCAGCATCAACCGCGACGCGCCCACACTCGGTCGAGGCCGGTTCCTCCTGCTCTTGTTGGCCTTTGCTTCAATTGCCTGGCCAACAACCACGTCGCGGCCCGGTGCAATCTCCCCTCCTGTGTCGAGGCACCGGCCACTGGACAAGGGACTGCAAGCGGCCACGCTCGCCGCCACATTCTGACCTCTTTCCGGGCAAGGCTCCGCGCCAACGAGCCCAACGACCGCGTCCCAACTTTCACGCCGTCATACCCCCCCGGGCGCTCGTGCTCCACGGGACGGAAGACCTCGGTGCCGCCTGTGTGCAGACGCCCTCAGGCCTCGCCGAGAGATGAACAGCGGCCCCCATCTCCTCAACCATCGACCCTGTCGCCGCCATCGTCGCCTGTGCTTGGTGATGCGGCACGACGGCCTCTTGCCGAGGTGGTCATCATTGTTGCGTTTGCATCTTGTAATCATGTCAAACAAGTTATCAACATGTAGTTGCATTAGCTAGACAGTTTACTTTTGTAACGTCATGTTTGTAATCGCGTAGAATCACGGGTGGAACGGAGACTGCACGTTGCCACGCCATGATCACGTCTTAGGGCGAGCTCCCGCCTTGGCGTGCATGCCATGCATGTCGCACGGGCACCCAAGAAAAGTGGCGCACCGTGCAGCTGCGCGTTGTGGCGGGGGATGCGGATCAAGCCCGTGATAAAGACTAAGCGATGCATCAAAGATGCTGCGCCAGTTGCAGTGGAAAAACTCTCTCTCTCTCTCTCACGCGTGTGAGTTCGTTGTGCTCTCGGCGTCGTGTTCGCAGTGACCGCGCTCTGGCATCGCAGAGCGCCGGCGTCGTGTTCGCGGTGACTAGCTTCACCGATAATTATGTCTTCATTGGAGAAGTGATTTTTTTTTGCTCCCACCAGAATCTGTATGGAATGATTCTCACAGAGAATATCCTCCAAAGATCATTGCTAGACAGTCCATTTTTATACTGTAGCAAGAAACAAGAGCAAAGAGCAAAGAGAAACACCGCCAAACAGGCCCTGTGAAGGAGTCTCCAGCGGCGTGGAACACAGCCAAAGTATTACGTACATCCTCGCAGGATGTAGTAATATGGTGGCACCAGTTCATGACGATCTTATTCTTAGATTGGTTGGGAACGACGACTTATTCACTTCAATTTGTAGTGTGTAGTTTCAATTTTGTGGCAGTTACACACCGGCCTGCAACGAAGTAAGCGGCTACATCTCTGTTGGTAAGATTTTATTATCAAAAAAGAAATAAAGGACCGTCTAGTATCTACTCCTATATAATGTGGTGGGCCGCACATACAATCCCGCCCGCAGTTAATATTAAGAACCATATCAGTCACTGTCCGGCCTTTCGTACGTGTTATGTCCATGCATGAACACAGCACATGCTGCTAGGGCAAAACTGAACGCGCGCGGTAGAAGCAGTACACATTCTGGCTGTGTGTTGAGCTGCTGCCTCCAAATTAAATCAGAGCTTTGGTACCTATTACATAGAACGGCTTTCATCTTATTCTTATGCAGCACCAGTTCAAACGATAGAGACGTTTTGGTTGACTTACTAACCATATGACGATCGACCAGTTGGCGCGCGCAATTTCGCAGAACTTTCCTACGTGTTATTTTTATAGAAATACTATACAACACACATATGTTTTAGCATAAAAAACACATAGATTTTCTCTCTCTCCCTCTCTCTTTAAAACTGTGGGCAGCCGTGGTTCATCGGTCTACTACGCTCGCGTCGTGGTCCGTCAGTCTGCTACGTCGCGTCTACTGCGGTCGTGGCCCCTCGCTCCGATCAAACCTGGACGCGATTTGTCCTATTGTCCTTGCATAGAAAAAAATTGTTTCTTGTGATATGTGGATTTGTGATCTTGTGATTTATGATTGTCTGGAGGTAGAAGAAGGCTGGAGGTAGAAGGAGGATGGAGGTTGTTGGATCTTAATTCTATGGTGTAAAAAAATTCATGTGTTAAAACTGCATAAAACACATGGTTGTTGGGTAGACAGACTCGAGAAATAAACCTAGCTCAACCAGTTGGCGCGAGAGGTGTGGTCGTGTATCTCAACCACTCATCGAGTTTTTTCTTAAGTCCACAGCAGACTGCAATATTACACTCCCTTAATTTTAAATTATAAGTAAGTTTAGGCTTAGATATACACTCTGTCTATATACACAGTAAACGTTATAAATCTAAAAAAACTAAAACGATTTTATAATTTGGAACAGAGGGACCAGAGTAGCTTCCAAGCCAAGATCAAGAGTGAGACGTGTGGTCACTACTTTCGCACTCGCTCAATTACTGTTGTCGGCTTCTCGCGGTGTATGGTTGTGACGAAGAGAGGCAAGCAACGCAGGGCCTGGTTTTCGGGTGTTGCTGCTGTTTCTCCCATTATTAGCCACACAGACAGGAGATGAGGACTGTGGTAGCGTGTGTGTACGTGGTGGTGGCCGGTGAGTGTGAGACGATGAATCAATCGAGAATCGACGATTGAGAATGAGACATTGAGACCATTATATATATCATTCTCTGCTGCGTCGTTCTTGCATTAACTGACAGACAGAGGCACACCGGAGTAGCCCTGCACTGCAAGTTCGTCTGCAACAACTCCAAAGCACATCACATCTATCCACGGCCGATTGGTTAATATTAAGAAGTTAGCTGGTGGTGGTGCTGGTGACGGCAATGGCATCCAAGGCTATCGCCGGTGGCGGCCAGGTCCTCAACGTCTCGAACCCGGAGGTGGTTCGCGTGCGGCAGCTCATCGGCGGCACGGCGGAGTACTCCTCAGGTGCGTGCGTGCATATGAGCTTATTTGTTCGTTCCCTTTGTCATCATCGGTTGTACATGGATGCAATAAACCATTGATCGATCGATTCACGGTCGGTGCAGACGGGTGGAAGCGGTGCTGGGAGGAAGGCGTGACGCCGTGGGACCTGGGCCAGCCCACGCCCGCCGTCGTCGACCTCGTCAACTCAGGCACCCTGCCCGGCGGCGACCGCGACGGCCGCGCCACCACCGTCCTCGTCCCGGGATGCGGCGCCGTGAGTGCACAGCATGGTCACCATGCATGCTGACCTCGATCACCATCTCACACATGCATCGATCGATATCTCAGCGGCCACTGCTTCGATCGTGTTGTGCGTGCAGGGGCACGACGTGGTGGCGCTCTCCGGCGCCGGCCGCTTCGTCGTCGGCCTCGACATCTCCGAGGCCGCCATTCACAAGGCCAGACAGGTACGCCGCCATGCGCCATTTTCGGCATTGCTTGCTTTTGTACACCGCCGGGCCGTGTTGTGCTTCTGCATTCATCAAATTGTATTCGGTATGCATGATATGATTCTGCGTGTACCAGCGGGCGGCGGCGGCGGCGGCCGACGGGAACTCGTTCGACTTCGTCGCTGCCGATTTCTTCACCTGGGAGCCGCCGGACAAGTTTGACATCATCTTCGACTACACGTACGTGCGTGGTGATTTTCTTCTGTTCATTGATAATACTACCAACGACTGAAAAAGAATGCAATTCGTCGAGGAGTCAAGCAGGTTGAACTTTGACTAAATTTATATAAAAAACTACTATCATTCATAATATAAAATAAGTATCGTTAGATTAGCTATAGAATATATATTTTTATAATAAATTTTGTTTGAAGACATAAATGCTAATATTATTTACTATAAATTTGATTAAATTTGAGTTACTTTGAGTGGCACGGATTCCATAATTGCATTTTTTCCCGGATGGTGGGAGTAATTCATTTCATGCAATTCATGGCGAAATTAAACGAGACGATTTCTTGTGTTGGTTTGCATTGCTTTGTCAGATTCTTCTGTGCTTTAGAGCCGTCGATGAGGCCAGCATGGGCCAAGAGAATTGCCGACCTGCTCAAACAAGATGGAGAGCTTATTACCCTCATGTACCTGGTATAATAATAACATACATATAAATAACCACTGATCAAACATGATATACGTATGTGCTGGATCTGTTCATATATATATACACGTCAACGCATATGCATGGCAGGCGGAAGGACAGGAAGCTGGGCCACCATTCAACACAGCAGTGGTCGAGTAAGATGCTGTTATCTGTCTTTTTTTTTGTGAACAGATGCTGTTATCTGTCTAGTGTATATATACTTATACTTCTGTATTTCATGGCTGCAAACAGTAAAGTAATATATAATACTACGAAATTGTTTCTATGTGTGTGTATGCATGCAGCTACGAGGAGGTGCTGAATCCCTTGGGTTTCGTCATGAACAGCATCCAAGACAACGAGGTGGCAGTCCAATCACGAAAGGTACTACGTACTACTCTATACTGTAATTCAATTGGCCAACCTGAACCTAGCATTACTAAGAAATGCAGTAATAATCTTTACTGAACTTGTTTGTTTCTCTTATACGTATTGTTAGGGAATGGAAAAAATGGCAAGGTGGAAGAGGATGGCAAACCCAACCAGCCTGAATTCTGCAGGAGAGACGCAGATCGACTAGCCCATAACATCAAACAATTCTTATGAATTCGGTGCTTCTGAAATAAAAATCTGTGCTTCTATATTTATATGGAAGACTCCAGATCTATCTTGTGTGCAATATAATTGGTAATATTGTTCGTCATCATGCTTTGGATCATGTATTGCAAAACAGGAGTATATTGTTGGTCCCATTGAATAAATAGAGAGCCCTTTCTGTCATTCTGTGTAGGGCCACTCTCAGTGGAAGTTGTATTCTCAATTAATAGGGTGTCAACTAAGCAAACTTGGTGACACGGCAAAGAATTAAACAATAGAGATGAAATGAGAGTTTCATATAGGTGAGATGAAACTTTTGCAAGTCTGAATGTGTCATAGAACTAAATGCAAATATGAAACACAAAAGAAATGAAACTATGCATTGTAGAAGGCATTTCAACCATGAATCAAATGCATTGAGAATGGCCTAACCAATCATTGTGACTCGGCTATGGAGTAAAGTTCTGCGCAAGTGCTGAAACTGATCGCCCATGTAGTCACTGCTTGTTACACAGCATCCAGAGTGCTAACCGGCCAGGATGCAATAGACTACTATTCTCCCCCTCTGTTCTTGCCCACACAACTACACATTCAACACAAGTACACACTCAACAGACAGCGCTCCTAGAGAGCTGCGCGCCTCACAGATTCTGACCTCACAAAACTGGGGCTATTCAGACATGTAATGCACTTCATTGTTGGGCCTGTTGCTGGGAAGTAGCCAAGCGAAAAAACCCTTGTACGTTTCTCCTCTCAGCCTCTGAGATGAGTACTCGATGAGCATATGCCACAACTCCCCGACCGTCCAGCCATGGCGTAGTATCCACTGGATCACCTGTCACAGCATGACGATACAAGGGAAAAGGTCAAGGAACATATATATAATAACAAAGAAGCCTAACAGCACAGAGTTGTGATTAACACTTTCAGAATTTGACTGGCTCGCTAAAGTTTGTTGTGCATCCTCTCATACGGTGAGAAAAATGTTATTTGTAATTTTCCCCCTTTTTTTGGTATGGATCCACTTGGTTTCTAACCTCCCAGGGTTAGCAAACTTTGTAACTCTTCTTTTTATCAATAAAAATTAGCGAGTCTCGTGGTAATTGATTCAAAATAAATTTTGTTTTGCATCGTACAAGCTACTTGTTCTGCACTTCTAAAAATGTATCAGGCCCAATTGGTAGTTATCTCTAGGAGAGGCTCCATTGAACTGTGCCGAATGAGGATCCTCACTCTCTATAAAGGGTACACCAACTTTAGAAGTTGTACAGCTAGAGTTTAACTTTCTAATCATGTGGCGTAAGAAAAAAATTGTGGAAGGGATGTATAGTACCTCCTCTAATCTTTCCAAAGATGCATCCTCAAAGGTGTAGTAATTAACAAAAGGGCGGAGAGCCTGCACGATTAAGAAAATACAGATTTCACCCCCAAAAGAAAAGAGGCATACAGATTTATTTGATCCCTATGCATCAATCAGCCACCTGCATCTAAATGGAAACACATGTATCATGTACCTGTGATGCAGCAATCCACTGAATCATGCTCTTGATTTCAGGGTTTCCACCAAAAGCACCACAACCCCAATTTCCTGTTGAAACTCCTATGTACTCATTGGAATTGATACTTGGAAAGTTACCCTTGTTGTGTGAATCCTGAACAGTATTTAAAAATGGAAAACATAATCAGCAAATATATGACATATCTGTCATACCTCTGATGCTATGCATATACAGGCTTAATGTTTGGGCATTTCTTGAGATTACAGCACCAGAGTGCCATTTTTTCATCTGCATTTAGTTACATCATTGGCAGAACACAAGAAAGAAACTAACTAAAGGTTGCAATGTTGACTAAGGCCATATTGGCTGCAAAAATAAAAGGAAAGCGCTATTGAGTGAAACTCAATGGAGTGATTAGTTAAACAACCTGGAAAAGCTTCACATAAAGCTGGTGTTTTGATTGATCGAAAAATCCACAAAAAGCCTTGTTCACTTCCCTGAACAAAGGGTAATTAGAAACAGTAAAACCATAAATATTATTTGCTTATAAAGGATATCATCAGTGACAACTGTGACATTAAAAAAAAGTAACATATTACCTTAGGAGACAACCAGATTCATAGTGTAACCTAGCTGGACAGTCCAAAGCATCAATTGCCACTATCCTAGTTCTCCGTCTCCCCATTGAATCAAAGGGTTTGGTATCTAAATAGTCACCGACAAAGCGAAAGGAGGAACCATAACTGCAAGGAGAAACAGGTACTGGATTCATAGTATCACATAAGGAAAATCATACAAGGATCATATCAGTCACTTCATCGAATCTATGAACTAAATTAAGCAAAGGGTGGATAGGGTTTTCACTAACCCCATATACTGTGAGAACCGTTCTGCACCAAAAATTTCTATAGCCTCATTATCTTCCATAGAAGCCATGAATAGCATACCCACAATCAATTCGGGGTTTATCATGAAGCGGATCTCTTCCTGTACCATAGAGGAAAAACAGAGTGGTTACACAAAACCACAAGAGCATTGTAACATATATAATCTATTTGAGAAGTTTTCAATTCACAGCAGAACGCAAAGGACTTTTTTAAGCACAAATAGGAAATGGTGGATAAATTGCAATTCATACTGTGCAGATGCACAAATTCATCTGAAAACTGCTGAGAAATGAACAGCATCACATGATCACACAGACCCTAACCAAAGTAGTTGCTACGAAATCGAAGATTGGGTAAACTAAAAATCTGCCAATCAAAAGAAAGGTACCTGCACACAACCCCTGGAAAGGGCACCTCCTCCCAGATATTTATTTGCAAAGTCAACTTGAAGGGCTTCTTGTTCCTCATCTTCTATAAAACCTGAGGAAAATACCTACTAATGAAAAGGAACCAGATAATCAGAAAAATTTATAACTTGAAAGCAATTTTATAACCATTACAACACAAACAGATAATTCAGTATCAGTAAATCAGTATACAGTGGTCTCTTACCCGGAATTGGCAGAGCGGTGCACTAGATGCCAACCACGCATGGATGTCAGGGTAGGGAATGCTATCAGAGAGGCCTCGGCGGGGAAGAACTTTGCGCTCAAACGAAACGAAACCAGTAGGTGTAGAATCAGTCACCCTCTCGAAATAGTGAACAATGCACCTCACTTTCTGCTCCTGGCTTTGCGATCGGTGAATCAGCGCCCTGTAATCGGTGAACAGAACATGAACATAGGTACTCCAATCTAGTTGTTTTTTTCCCCCAAATCATAAGCGAAACAATACAGAATGCAAAGAGGACATACGTGAACAGGCCATCGAAATTGATGGTGGGAAGGCACGCCTGGGCCCTACCGGCCGTGGGGAAGAGGCAGAAGAGCGCGCAGGTGAGCAGCGCCGCGACGAGCTCCTGGCTGAGGAGCACAACGCCAGAGTCCTGCGACGCCAGGACCCGGAGCCCGGAGGCGCCGTGGCCGGCCTTGGCGTAGTGGTCCTCGAGCAGAGCGGGGAGGCGGAGGAGGAGGCGTGCGAGGTTGGGGACGACCTCGGCGAACCAGCCCCGCGCCTGGGCCCGGGAGAGGAGGTCATCGAAGAAGAGCGCCAGGCCGTCGGCAGCGCGCGAGGGGAGCGCGGGCAGGGCGAGCGCGAGGCGGAGGTCGGTGAGCGCGTCGGCGAGGACGTCCCCCGAGGCGACGCGGCTGACGTCGGGGCCGAGCGCGAGCGCCCGGAGCGACTCCTGCGCCGCGGGCGGCCAGAAGAGCGCGCCGCCGCGGAGGACGACGGGGAGGAAGGGCAGCGCCGAGCGCAGGTCGTCGCGCGCCGCCAGGCCCGTGGCCGGCGGCTCCTCCTCCATTGCGGCGGGGACGAAGGTGGAGGAGCGAATGGGTCTGGGTCCGGGTCGGCCGCGAGCGGGCGATTTGCAATGGGACTCCACATATGGTCGTTGGCAGATTTGGCGCTGAATCAGAGTGTCGAGGAGTCGATCTTTCGAGTGTTATTTTTACAATTTTTTTTGCCGCGAGCCCGTGCGGTTTGGGCTTTGGGCGCCACGCCCACCCGAGTGGAATCCACACGGTTACCGCGTCAGGTCGACGACTGCTTGGCAATGGTGGGGTGGGAGGGCAAGGTTGCCGTCGGCGACACCGACGGTGCACGGCGACGAGATCCACTGGGATTCGACGCAGACATTTGATAATTTTAGCGAAGATCATTGGGGCATCCGAACTTGAAAATTCTTAACATGGCAACCTAATCTTCCCCTGAAAATAAGAAATTTTCTCTATTGCAAAAAAAAAAAAAGTATGCAGAGAGAGGGATCCAATCTGCAAAACAGTTTGGAAAGAGGCACAAAACGCAAACAAACTCCTAGCAAAATCCAAAACACAGTGATAAAATCAGATCATTTAAACACAGTAGTGGGCACATCTCCATATCTGCATGCTGGGATACACGGAAATAATCCAAACTAGTACATCATGCGCGCCATCGCGCGCGCCGCTCAATTAAACGGGAAATCAAATGGTACAGATAAGAGCGCAGAGATCCAAATTGTACTTATATTACATACATGGATGTCATGAAGCCGGCAATGTTTCGAGTTGGAAGGTTAGGGTAGTGTTACTAATATATTACAACAGTTGACGCCATGGGTTCAGTCATAGGTTATAGCCTGTCATAGTTGGTGGTAGAGTACAGTTAGTAGCAAGTAGTATTCCTAGTTTCATAACATTAGATAGTGGGATCCAGACTATACAAGAACGCTGAAGACGGTCGCAAAAGCGCACAGTTTGCGTGGTGGCATAGTAATTTAGGCAGGCAAGTTTTGAACCGGCGTTCTAAACACCAATGTACATTGTGTTGAAGATGAGCTTGGGTGTACGCGTTGTGACGGCCATTGACAAGGCGATGCATCAAGAGGTTTTACAAGCTGTACAAAATATTAGATAGTTTGAGATGATAATAGCATTGTTGAAGAAGGCGACTTTAAA